GCTACTCTATACTGGTGGTATTACAGTACCACGAGAGCTAAAGAGCAGACTGCTCCGTGCGCATCGCTCTCGCGGATGATCGATCTGCGCCGCACCTCTAGTCGAACACACCGGCAAGTGCTGCAGGCTTGTTGGCTCACTGACGCGGATTAGATTAACCCCTTCGGTATCGAAATTTGGTACCAAACGACGAGACGTTTTTCGATACTCGATGGTATCGAGGTGCCTAAAAAGTATCGAACTCGATACACAGCCCTAGCACTGGCGACATCTTCCAACTGAACGATAGCTAAGGTTCATCCAGAAAAAGGTCGCTAGGTTTGTCATGTATATTCTATGGAAAAAGCCGCTAAAAGGGTCTGAAAGTTGCTAAATCTAGTACTAAAGTCGTGCTCGTGTGTGTGAGATGCGGGAGCTGATGGCAGGGGGCGGTGGATATTTGTGGCGGTCAGTGTGGATATGGTGGACGAGTTCTTCTGTGGCATCACTTTCTATTAGTTCTACAGCTTCAGTTTCTGAACTTTCACGCTTAGTAACATACAGCCGTTCCCTCACCACAGTGCAACAGTGAAAAGGGACCCCTTTCAAACAGTGTCGCGTTCTGAAAGTTGTTTAAATGACATTTTGCAGTATTTAAAAAAATTCATATCAGAAAAATAAACACCGGTATTCAGTATGAACCGTTATACCGCACAGCACTATTCATGACCCCTTTAAAGGTTTCTGTGACCTAATTTAATGAATTGAATATCCGTCAGTTTCTCACAAGGTTATCAAATGGCTTTTGAAATGACTTTTAAAAGCAACATGTTTATGCTTCAATAAGTAAATTGCATATGGATTTTCAGTAAGCCCTCAATGTAAAATAAATCAGAGGTGTATGTATGTGACTGTACCTGTAGATCTGAGCAGTTCAAGCAGCTGGTCTCTCTTGGAGTACTGGTCCACCTGAACGATAGTTTGCTCCACATCACTGCATGCTCCACCAACCACACCAACAGCAAGGAAAATGTAGTCCACTTTCAAAAAATCTGCAGCCATCCTATCATACAACACGATGCATCGATCATTCCTACTGAAGCATCACTCTCACGGAATAAGAGATGTGCAAAACATTTTCAAAATCATCTAGTTGTGTGGATGACTATTTGATCCGTTTAAAGCCCAGTGTAATTAATCTGGTTTTAGATTTATTTAGCTCTCAGAACTAGTTCGGACGTACTATGATGGTTTTTAGGGATGCACCGATATGAACATTTTGGCCGATACCGATAACCCTTTATTTTTGAAAGCCGATAACCGATATGTTGGACGATAAATCTATATCCAAATTTTTATATACTTTTTGAGAGCCTGATTACAAAAAAGGTCTCATCATTAAAAACCACATCCCGAACACTTCAACATAAGCAGCCTAGTTTGAACGGTGTATGTTTTAAAAATATTTTTACTCTCCCATTACCAAATTTAGTCAAAGTCTTACAAATAAATAAAATAATGCATAAATAATGCAAACAAGTCACTAGACATCATTACACGTGTAAAGAATCAAAATGAATGCGCCATAGATCAATAAAACGGAATAGCCTCTGCACGGACAATAATTAAAATGATTTTAATTACTAAACCATATTGCTGATGAAAATAATAATAGAAAAATACAAGTGGTTGTTATTATTAATAATGTATCAATGATTTTGAAAAAGTAACAAATTAATACCACTGTTTTAAACAGCAGCCGTTTGAGCTGCGCGTGCTGAAACTGAAGAGCTGAATGAATACGGTAAACTGAAGCGTTTTGCTGGCAGCTTACTTAACTCAAGGAAATGCATCCTGAGATTAATATTAATACAAAATAAACATAATATTACAACTTATATATGTACAAAATGACGCAGTTATTGCATGCTATAGTCAGAATGTGTGATCCTGTTGTGGATGCGCTCTTCCCATAACAACGCGCTGAAACACAGCAACTAAACCCATAGAATTCACAACGTTTTTTTATAATAATTTTCTCATTAGAATGTTATATACACGACATTCCCAATCATAGTTATTAATGTTGTGCACTGCTGTTTGAGTTTATCACTGATAAACTGAAGCGCTCTTTTAACTTAACCAAATGCATTCTATATGAGATAAATCAGATATACATCATATATAAACACAATATTACAACGTACAATTGCACAAAAGGCTGCAAACGAACAGCGCGCATCTGAAGTGTCTCTGAAGGAAATAATGCATTATTTATCGGCTTTAAGATATCGGCCACATTTTCTTATTGGGCCGATACCGATAACAGAAAAAATTAGCATTTATCGGCCGATACTGATATGGTGGTCGATATATCGTGCATCCCTAGTTCTTTTTGAAACTTTGTAACCGATTACACGATTTTCAAAAAGCAGCTTGAAAATTTAACATCGTGTTCCAAAGAACAGACAGGTTTGGAACAATCAGTTTCTGGAAGAATAATTCTTTAAAGGAAATTCACACCGCACTGACAGACGCAGACCAACCACTTTTTCACACATTCAAAGAGAAAACACAGATTCAACATCTCAATCAGCAAAAACAAGTGCCGACAAATGGCAACAGACACAGACAAGGGAAACACCAATCAGACAAAACCTGACAAATGTGTCTGTCGGCACAACGTGAATTGGCCTTTAAAGCGTGCCAGAGTCAGACCTTTGAATATCTTCAGGGTAGGTGGCACTGAACATGAGGGTTTGTCGATCCTCTTTAGAAGGCATTCCTGGAGATCCCACCAACTTTCTCATATCCGGCTCAAAGCCCATGTCCAGCATTCGGTCTGCTTCATCTAGAACCAAATACCGCAGCTTACTCAGGCCAACCTGACAGAGAAAAGTAAAAGACTTCTGTATTTTACACCTTTATGGCCAACCTTGGGCGGGGGGGGGGGGGGGGGGGAGTTGGGGGCGGCATTACCTTTCCACGACCAATGATGTCAAGCAATCGTCCTGGAGTCCCACACAAAATATTGCAGCCCTTTAACACCTCTCGAATAGTGTATCCAGTATTTACACCTCCATAAACCACCACAGGACGCACACAGGTCCTACATAAGATTCAAAACCACATTTTATATTGCCATAATTTTTAACCTGGAAGCTACAAGCGATATAGAATAAATGAGGGACCTCATACGAGTCCATAGTATGGACTAAGCTAATAAGGAGTTATGAATCGGAATCATGTATTGTAGAAAGAGCTATATAAATAAAGGAGGCGACTCATAAAATCTGTATCAATACCCAGCCCTACTGTGCATAATGAACTGTAGCAAAAACTCAAAAGGCAATTGCAGATTTACTTATTTTTCCTAGTGATTTTAAGGGGGATTCATGTCGTTATGGCCAGAAGCATTTAGGCAAAGGCTGAGATGGTTTAGTGCAACGCATTAACTAACGGTCTTGTATGTCAAAAGTTTGTTACTATCTGCATGTCTTTTGTTGCATAAAACTCTGCTTAAATTTTTCTGTTTTCATATATACAGTTTAAATTATTAATTATTCTAAACAAAGTCTAATTAAAAAATTACTTTAAGTCAGTGTTTCCAGAATGTTTGGTTTCAGCCAAGAAATTTATAAATTTAAACGTATAAAATCACTGAAAATTCTAAAATGTGTACCCATATGCAAACTTCCTGGCCTCCAGATAGATCTGATTGATGAGCTCTCTGGTGGGGGCCACGATTATGGCCTCGGGCTCCTGCACCTCGCTGAACTTGCTGGCTGCCACTCCATCAGCCATCAGCCGCTGTAGGATGGGCAGCAGGAAGGCCGCCTGAGTGATGGCACAGAGCAAGCAAACAGTCAATTATATAAGTAATTACCATCACTGATAAACCACATCAGAATCACAAATTAGCATTTAATAAGAACAGCATGTCATAGAGGGTTGTTCTTGCCGTTTTTCCTGATCCGGTCTGGGCACAAGCCATCAGATCTCGTCCAGCAGAAATAATGGGAATTCCATGTTTCTGGACAGGAGTAGGCTTCACATATCCAGACTTCGTTACATTCTTTCTCAGTGATTCACAAAGTCCTGCTTCATCAAAAGTCTGTAAGAGACAGCGAGCACATGAGGGACATTTTATTTTGAGGAACTGTGTTGAATTTGTAGCCATTTTGCCCTATTTTCATAGCTTCTATGTAAACAAAACAGCTCGTGGAAATGAGCCTGTGTAGACACAATGAAGAATATATTTTTTTCTATCAAACACTTTAAACTGGGAGCCTTTGCAGTTAATTTACAGCTTGAGTGTTACAACCAGTTCCTTATTTATAACGGAAAAGGTGTATCTGGTTAATGCACTAACTGGTTATGTTGTTATATTTATCATCAATATTGTTCATAAGAATTTAAGAACACTAATTTAATTTACATTAACATCGTCTTTCAAAAAAAAAAAAAAAAAAGACATAAATCTGTTTTTGCTGATGCAAGTATGTTAGAAGCGATGCATTGCGATACAAGTGTCAACATGTAACCGATGCACTCTTTTTTTAAATGATGCATCTCTTCGTTAACTTTTATGCCGACGCACTGATGCGAATCGGTGAATCTTACCATCCTTATCCACCTTATTCTTCCCGTAAAAATTGGTGCAGCCATTTGTAACTTCTATGGGTCAGGCTCATTCGCTTCCAACTATTTTTAGATGTACAAAACCACTCGTTTTGCTGCTTGATATTGCAAATAGGTGTCTTACCATATTATTTTAATGCATTATCTTAATTAGGAACACACTGGTTGGTAGTGCAAACAGTTTTACCGTTTACTGCACATTGTTATTCTTCTCGTTATTTCCCTACAGCGGCTAATGAACTGGAAGTCTCACCCATAGGCTGTTGACAAGATTTTCTGTGCACCTGAATGTTTGTGCGGGCGCAGCACCAACTCCAAAAAAAGACAAAGTCAGAGAAACAGCAGTAGGCTATAATCGATTATGGTCTATTACTGCATCGATGCAGAATCACCCACCTCTGTATCACAATGCATCAGAAAGGATTAATTTCAACACCCCTATGGGAAACACTGAACTGACGCCATGCGTCACAAAAATGGCAACATGATCGATTTAGTACATACAAATCGCACTGATACTACAACTTCTAATAGTCAAAGTTAAAATGGATTACAAAATATATGCACTAATAACTTACCATAATGGCCTTTGGAGGATTGCTGCCACTCACATCCACAAGGATGTCATCATATTTGTCAAAATTAATGCCTGTGGCATAATGGGAAAATATGGAACTCTCCTCTTCTGGAGGGGGAGGCGGCACATAGACAACCTTGGGTCCTACAAGAAAGAGAAACACGAGGTTAGTTTATTCTGGATATAAAACAAGTAAACTATAACTCCTGCATTGGCTAAAGCAATGACTTGCATTGAAGGAAAATGACCCACCTGCATTTTCACCTGCTTCTTGATCTGGCTTGTCTGATGTTGAGGCTGGACAATTAGGGAAAAAACAAGAAAACTAAGCAAATTAAAAAAAAGCATAAGTTTTACTTACTAGTTACTATAAATGCAGTAAATTACCCTTGGGAAACACTTCCTCATTCCGGCCTCTGAAACCTACACAGTCATTAAAGAGAGTTCAATTGAACCCATAAGATAAAATTACTAATGACTAACAAAAAAAAAAACATGATTAAAATGTCACCTCCTCTTCCAAAGCCTCTTTTTCCTGTCTCTTCATCGCCACCACCTTAAAAGCAGGACATAAATATTCAAATGAAATGACATGATTCAGTTGTGATTGTTCAAAGGCAGCTGTGGTCAAACATGTACTATATATAACCTAAACTGTATAATTCACCATTGCCCCAGGCAACTAACTTTCTACATAGCTGTGCTAGATTCACACCTCATCTCTTCCAGCCACCATCACATCACATTATAACTACAACCAACCATCACGGAAACCCCCACGGAAGCCTCCACGACCTCTTCCTCGGCCTTCACCTCCTTTCCAACCTGCAACAAACAGATGGGCTCCATTAAACATCACGAGTCAAAAATAAATGTCTATTATTCAGGGAAAAAAAATACATTACCCTCATCTGTGCCATTTTCGTCATTTTCTGGAAGATAAACAAGAACAATGTAAACAAAAACAAAAAGAATTATGAAATTGTACACTGATGTAAACAAATTAATCACCTCTTCCAAAGCCTCTTCTCCCAGTCTCTTCATTACCACCTTAAAAACAGGCAATGAACATTAAAATAAAACAAGTCATTGCACAACTTTACTATGATTGGTCAAACATAATTCACCATTGCCTCAGGCACCCAACTTCATACATGCATGCATGCATAGCAGAACGAGATGACAAGAAACGTGCTTGGCTATTTTTTCACATAAATTACAAATTCAAATTAATTTATTCCAAAAACCAACCATCACGGAAACCACCACGAAAACCACCTCGGAAACCACCGCGACCTCTTCCTTGGCCTTCACCATCTTTCCAACCTGCAACAGAGAGACAGGGTCCATGAAACAAATAAGAGCGTAAGAGTAAAAATAAACATGTCTTGTTTAAAAAAAAAAACAAACAAAAAAAACTTTACCCTCATCGTTGCCATTTTCATCAGTTTCTGAAAAATAATCAAGAACATCATGCAAAAATTCTTATTAAAATGCATACACAAGACTGCACAATAACAGTTAAACTGATAACTAATTATTTTGCTCAATTTATGTCACAATTATTGTTAGGAATTTCGGTAAGCTATACTGCTTTTTAAATACATCATCTGATGTTTATTTTGTGCTATAACTAATAATAGAGTCGCCACCCTGGGTCACATTATCATAAATGTGATGGTCACTTCAAGGAAGTAATTGACCATGTATCCTTCTCTAACAGTCGTGTAGAAAGGGAATTCACCCGAAAAAACCCTTGGTGTGGCGACCCATCCCACAGTGCCCTTCAAGGGCGCAACAATGCCATTCGGAGAGATTTAGTCTCACACTCATGTCTTTTACAGTAAAATGATTTAACCCAGAAAGATTTGGAAGATGCAACAAAACATTGCAATGAGTGAAAAAAGCTTTTAAATGACATCAACATTTTGGAGACAGCTAGTGTTCTTAGAGTATAATATAAAAATTGTCTTAAAACCAGACTTCTGTTGAGGGGAATGAAGGATGAATGTAATATCACCTGATTTAAAGGTATTTCTGAAGCCTCCTCTTCCTCCTCGTGATCCTCCCCTGCCTCCTAAAAACATGTCATATAAGCAATGCTGGTCTAACACGATGTACATAAGCTTACAGCAGATGCACACAAACAACTTTGGATTCAGATTTACAAAGTTTAAATCTGTAGTTCTTTACGCAACCCTCTGAAAAGACTATTTTAAAAATATGTAGTTCTGCACCTCCCTAATCAGGGCTGCTTTACAGTCAATGGTTCTCATTCATTAATAATTGGTTAAATTATTCATATTTATACGCACATCCAAATTTCTTAACTTTGTGCATCTAAGATGGGTTTCTTAACCTCGTTTTAACGTTCACTCAAACAAGCATTTTTTTTCATTAATTTAGAATTAATTTGTGTGAAAGTTTTTTTGTCAATCATGATTTGTTGGTAAACATTCATATGCAGTTTTCACACAAATTTTGCATACAATGTCCTTAGCTAATTGTGCTAAATATTATTTGGAAAGAAACGTGGTCCATATCCACAAGTTAATTCAACTTCACTACAAAGTTGTAATAATTTTTAAACTACAGCACTCGAGTCCTTGTTTCTGATTGACTGAAGCAGCTATCCCACCCACCCCTGAAAAAAACCCTGCACATTTTGTATGTCTCTAATCAAGCACACAAGAATTGAAACGGGCATCTCAGCAAAGGAGACATTCAAAATGCGCCGTGTAGGGGCTCCATGAACAGGGATGAGAAACACTGCTCTTAGGTGTTGATGAAACGCCATCTGTGTGAACGCTCTGATGTAGTTATGCTTTATCATTATTTAATAAAAGTTCACCTACTTACCTCTGCCCCTGAATCCATCACCAGAAGTTGTCTTCCATGAGCTGCCATCAGCATCTACAAACACAAAGACACACTTTAGATCCAAGTTAGAGCTGTATCCTTACATTAGCTTTCAGGAATCATAGTTTCAAATTAGGGATGGGCGATATCTTATTGTTTGCAATATACCAGTAAAGATTCTCCCCACGATAAGAATTAGTCTTCCCGCAATAACGATTAAGCCTGGTTGTTGACATATTTCTGTGCGACCGTGCAGGGCAGCATGGCGGAAGGCGGACGTGAAATTGAGGAGGAATATATCACTAAACGATGAGCTTACAGTCTGGAACTGGTTTGGTCAGGGCTGTACAGTGCGACAAAAATCGGTCTGAGCCTTGAATAAATGTACTACAGTAGCAGTTTTGCATGTGTACGAGTGTTTACAAACCTGTTGTCCAACAAAGATATCATTTATTGACATCCAAATTAACTTCATAACATCAGACGAGTGTTTGAAATAACTTTGATCAGACGTTGTTTCACATCACAGAATGAGGCAGAAATCATAGTTTTATATTATATACAGTGATAAAGGCTGTCGATTAGAATTGCATTATAAATACACCTCATCCTTAGAAAAATACCCAAGATTGCTTTAACACAGAAAAACCATATAGTGTCTCAATTATATGTTCATTGCCTTCAAGTTTCCTCCGTTAACATTTCTCTATCTGCGTTTTATTCAGCTACAGCGATAATTGGATACCTTGGTCCGTATCAGGGATTTCATGGAGCATCATCAGTGCAACTACTTCTGCAATGCATATGTGGAGTTTCTGCGCAAGGGTGCTCTCTGGTTTCCGGTATGAATTAAATAGTCATTATGTGTGTACTCGCTAAAGCTCACATCACCAGGGTAAAAATAAGAAAGATAATACAAACAGTATTAACTCTAAATACTAAATACTCTAAACAAACAGGATTTTTAAAACATTTTTGTCTCCGTGGATGCATAAGTGGATTTCCTGAATTAACGTCATTGATATCACAATAAATACCAGAAATTATCGTGATATATTTTTAAGCCCATATCGCACATCTCCATTCCAAATCACAATAGAATCCGATATATACTATTTTAAACTTTCATTAATAACGTGAATTGCTTAAGCAATTATTGCTTCTAATAACTTGTGACAACCAACACAGGGCTCCAGACCACTGACTCCCAAAACATAATTAGGAGCCAAAAGATTGACAAATTACAGAATTGCTCAGTGGTTTAGAAGAGCTTTGTTTCAATGAGCTGTATTTAGCATTAATTAGATTGAATTTGATGCTCATTCTAAGTGATTCTGATTATATTTGCATTCAGATACCAGAAATACCAGGAGATGGGCTGTTACATGAGGACAGCTGGATAGGGCAACAACCCAGCAGCAGGACCAGTATCTACACACTACGCTTGATTAATTGTGAGATCGTTATCGGCCGATAATCACATTTTATGACTTGATCGGTACTAACTACACTTGGCCGATCTCACGAACTGATCACAATTTGATAAAGTCAACCCGTGACGACGTACATGATGTGTGGGGACAAAAATGATTTGGTCATGTCATCGCCGGTGTGGAAATGCTATGACATTTCAAGAAACAACGAAAAATTTAGCTATTTGTATGTTTTGCATGATGATATGATGAATGGATGGTTCATTTTTAACAGCAGATTCAGTGACGTTAGAGCTGATCTGCACACGTCTGCTGCGCATTACAGCTTCACAGGAACCGGAGCTGATCGCGGCCGCTCTAGTCAGTGCTTGTGTTTATACCGGCCTCACATTTCTGAAGCGGCTCTCCGTGCTGCTTGGCTAAAAACAGTCTTTTGTGAGTTGTCACAGCGTGGAGGACGGAACAAAACCTCGTTGGAAACGTAAGGGATAACGGTAACATAATACGCTGATCGTGGGCTGCTTTTAAATAAACATTTATAAAACAAAATATCTTCTTTGGCCATATTAGCCTACTCAATAGCATTAACACAGGCTTTACTTCTTTCAAACTTTATCTGGAACGTCACCGTTTTGGTCACTAAAACTTTCCGATCAGGCGAAAGCACACACACACACAAAATAAATCTTCTGCCTGATGGAAAAAAAAAAAAATTATAATAATAATAATTTAGTTTATATTTGCATTATTTATGATTTATTTTATCCACCCGCAAACAATCAAAAGCATTTTTTTATTACCAGACCAGCAGGATTAACGGTGCAGCACCCATGGATATACCCGTGATCTAACCGTTTTGTTCTTTCAGTACTTTATTTTTTCCTCTTCAGTCTTATATTGGACAGTATGAAAGGGGTCATATGATGTTGCTAAAAATAACTTTATTTTGTGTATTTGGTGTAATGAAATGTGTTTATTCGGTTTATGGTTCAAAAAGCACATTTTCCCACATACTGTACATTGTTTCTCCTCTATGCCCCGCCTTTCTGAAACGCGTAGATTTTTACAAAGCTCATCGGTCTGAAAAGCGAGGTGTGCTCTGATTGGCCAGCTATCCAGTGCGTTGTGATTGGCCGAATACCTCAAGCGTGAGACGGAAATGTTACGCCCCTCACCATACTGTGATGCCCTGTGAACATGCATTATAAACTTATTTCAAATGAATCTGTTGGGGGGATAAAGTGTGTAAGATAACGTTTACATACTAACAAAACATCTAAGAATGCATCTTTCATTCTCCAGTACTGAAAACAGAACCGATAAGGCAGCTTTTGATATGCGCTGTGATGCAGCTCTTGCAAATTACCCATTTTGTTCGTTGTCTCATTTCGAAGCTTAAGTTGCATACGTTTTTCTTTAGTATTAATTTGCCTAACTATCGATCTGACCCAGTAACTGCCTAACTGACCCACTATTTTATTTTTTAATGGTGGGTGTTTACGCAGTTGGCTAGAGCAGTGCTGATTGGGGAGGTGCGCTCACTCTATTGGTTAGTAAGGCTGCAACTCAAGGCTGGCAGTCATGCATATGCTCTGGAACAGAGTAATATCGCGTCCACATCGCAGGCTTTGCGATTAGCAAATTGCGATTTTGATTCGATTTCGATTAATCGCACAGCCCTACTCTACACTGCCCAAAACTCGCGTTTTGAATGGTCAGTGGCAAATTCTTTAAATATAAAAAAACATACTTAAAGTCTGTGAGTCAGAACAGCCGGCATTGTAGTCTACTCTCCCAGGATCAGGAAACAGTCCTCCATAAAATGTGCTGCACACATCTGTATATTTGGGTTGACGTGTTCTGGAACAGTGTTTTAAATACAACTTAACCACTGATTTCTAGTCGTGTCCTCTTTTGGAAGACCAAACAAAGTAGTTTCGCTTTCACTGTCTTTAAGTTAGTGGTTCTCAACTGGTGGCCACAAGATAATTTAAATGTTTGCATAACTCCATTATTAATATGATAAAAATTAAAGCATGACCTCTTCCATTTTGTGATTGTTTAGGAGCCCAAGCCACTTCTTGTGCAGTGTGAAATACAGTTCCGATACAAGTTTTCACAAAAACAAAAAGTTTCAGCCTTTAAAACATTTTTAAGAAAATGGGCGAGTCAAAAGTATTAATTAATATATTTAAACAATTATAAACAAAATGATTATATCAATTAACAAATTAGGGGTGTGCGATATTGACAAAAAAAAATTATATCTTGATAAATTTACATGAATTTTATCGATAATGATAATTACACAATATTTTGCTGAACGTGTTGTGCTGATATCTTCTCTAATTGTGCTGACATCTGACTCCTGAATTTTTGATATTCTGTGTGGTCAGTTCACAGCAGTGATAGAAATTAATCATTTCCAACCAGTTCTATGGGCATTTTTACCTTTAAGCCATTTTTTCTAAAAGTGTGCACCATCTTTTGTCAAACTCTTGCATTTGGGTTGTTACCAAGCAAATGAAATCAGTATCAACAAAATTGATCTTTGCAATGCAGAGGAAACACAGAAGCTGCATTAGAAGTGGCATTTAGATGCATTTACACAGTTTAATGCAGCTCTGAGGGACATTAAATACTTTAACCTGCAGTTACAAATGCATAAATGCTTTGATATTTTAAACATAAAACATTGAAAACTGATGTTGCACATCACAGACGACAATGTTAGCATCCGATAATTTTAACTAGGACTGCACGATAAATCGCATGCAATATTTAACGCACATCTTGTCAGAAAGCCGGTTCTGTAATCAGCGGTAAATCTCCATCACGTGCGTGCTTTCACATTGAGCAGCATTAACTACACAGAGCCGTTGTTATAACTACACAAGATGCGCGTTAAATATCGCATGCGATTTATCGTGCAGCCCTAATTTTAACTGTTGGAGAAAACTGGTTAATTTGAAGCTTTTTTGCGCTATTTTTATCTTCCGGGTTTAAAACCTGCATTGTGTTGACGTCACAATTTGTGACGCGGCAATGGACTAATAGTACATCGATGACGCGCCAGTGTCTATTAAATTATTCATGAGACTGCGTGTTCTT